TATGCTACCGAAATTTTGAGAAAAAAAACTATCTCATCTACTTTATGCATTTAATTGCATTTAATCATACACTTTGTTTTATTAATATGTATCTAACGCAAATGTAGGCCTTGGACTTGCCCCTACCAAATTTAGTATTAAATCCGGATCAGTTCAATTTCAAGTGTAAAATTACAACAAAGAGTTTGTTATATAATGTGATTAGAGTGTTCACCCTTATGGTATTGAGTGGTTTAGGGGCTCTCAGTTTGGCCACCTTTTTGATATTGCAGAAGACATTAACATGAGTTTAACCCCACTTTGGATGTTACAATGTCGAGCGGTGAAAACAAATAAGGAGTATGATATGTGGTTTGTTTTTAATGGGATTCCCATTAGGTACTCGCTCATGGAGCATACACTCATCAATAGACTTAAGTTTCGTTCATTTTACTAATTCGAATTTTCAGTTTTAAATTTTTACAGTAAAAAGCTCTCAAAAAATGTCACATTTAATTTTTTTTTTTTTTTTTGCTACAGTAAAAAGCTTTAAAAAAATATTACATCTCAACTCGAATTAAAAACTCGAATCCGCGAAGTGAACAAGACCTTAAGGGCTTGTTCTTTTGAGTGAAAAACTCAAAAAAATGTAACTCGAGTTATAATTTTATTCGAGTTCATGTTCTTTTAAGTTTAAACTCGAGTTTAAACTTGAGTTTAGGACTAAGACTCGAGTTCAAACTTGAGTTTATGACTAAAACTCGAGTTCAAGTTTCCCCTTCAACTCGAGTTCAGAAACTCGAACTCAAATTAATGAACAATATTTTTTCAATTCTTAAAAATGCTATAACTTTTTCATTTTAATTCTGATTGAGATGATTTTTTTTCTATGCGTTGACAACGAAAAGACGACTAAAACCCGACCCATATACCCGATTAAAATTTTTCATCAGCATTGAGTTTTTATTAAAATACTATCTGTTACACCATAGTCGAGACATCGACCATTCCTTCGAACGACCGACGCTGAGGACTCCCGCGCGGAGGACCAACTGTTGGCATCGAGGGTAAGGCATAGCAAACGTGCCCTATACGTCGAGAGATAGCGCAAGAGGAGAGGCGCCGGGCGAGGGCTCTATGGGCTGAGACTGCTGCGTCGAGGGAACATTGTCGGTCCTTTTTGCCAGGAGTCATGTCAACCTGAGGAGGGAAGTACTGATCCGACTGTTACTGCAGAAGTCAGGAAGTCAGGCGGCAGGTTGAGAGTATCAGCCGTATTTCCTAGAAAAGTCATCATGAAAGGCCCACCTACCCTCACGAGAATCGAGAACAGAAGATGGCTTCCACCTTGGGAGCCGAGAATATGTAATCGAATGTAGAGGCCTATAAATAGAAGGAACGAAACCCAGAAAGGGGTTAGACACCATTGGTATTACAGAGAGAACTTGTAAACATATGAGAAAATAGTGCATGCACAAGTGGATTATGCATAAAATTATTGCCGAACCACTATAAAATCCTTGTCCCTTCTACGTTACTTTACTGCTTATTACTTGATTTTGTGGTTAGTGCGACTGTGAGCGTTTCCGGAGAGGTAATCACGAGTTGTCGGAAAAACACCATCAACAATTGGCGCTAGAAGGAGGGCCCCGTGAAGCCCAAAAATTTAACCCAACTTTGAACCAAAGAAACTGTCATCATGCCTCCCGGCAAGCGTGTCCGGAATACCACAACCGCAGGGACCTCAACGGATCCACTTCCATCGGCGGCCACGACTCCCCTAGACCGTATCGACCAGCTCCAAAAGCAAGTCGAAACGCTGGCCGCAGCCGTGGAAAAAATGGCTATGGCCCTGGCTGGGCGGGAACAAGGGCAGGACCCAATGCCACCGCTTGAGGATGCGCCGATGAACTCGGTGAACGCCGCTGTTGGGGGCCAAGTGATTGGCGACAGACGCGGTGACGCCGAGGAAGTCGCTGACAGTCGAGCGGGTGATCCACGTCCGTCGAAGTCGAATAGGTCTGTTAGGAGCAGGCAACACGCGGCACGGAGGAGAGCGCGGGAGAAGGCTGCGGCGCCGGCTGTGGACAACAGAGATGCGCCCCCTCGATCTCAACAGGATCCACCAAGGAGGAACGTCGTCCCCGTGGGATCCACGTCGGTGCATGGCGGGGACCTAAGGGCTAAGCTCGACGCCCGACGTGGAAAGGCTGTGCAGCTGACGAGGGAAGATGAGCTCGCAGCGGAAAACAAAGCCCTGACCGAGAAGATTGCCAGGCTGGAGAAGCAGATGGGGAGTCGACTGAACAACTTCGAACAGGTTGTGGGAAAGGTGGCCGAGGCAGTTAACGTCGACGCCAAGATGTATACGTCTCACGACCACCCGTTCACGGAAAGCATCATCCGGGTCCCACTTCCCGACAAGTACAAGTCACCTCTTATTCCGTTATACGACGGGAGGAGTGACCCGGACGATCACTTGGAGGTGTACACAGGACACATGGTCCTGCATGGATACCCCGAGGAGGTGATGTGCCGGGCATTCAGGAATCACCTTTCCGATTCCGCGAGGAGATGGTTTAGGTCCCTCAAACCAAACTCCATCACCAGCTGGGATGATTTGAAGAACGCCTTTTTGACTCAGTTCATAGGTGTCAAGAAATACATCCCGCCAAAACAGAACCTGTCGAGGGTATACCAGGGACCTAACGAATCCCTGAAGGACTGGATAGCCCGGTTCGGGGAACAGGTCGCAGCCACTGAAGGAATCTCCGATGAAGTGGCCCTGATGGGGGCGCTATCCAGCATGAAGAAAGACATCCCCTACAGCACAGACCTCGACCGAAGGCCGCCCCACACCTATAAGGAATTCCTGACAAGGGCGCAGGGGTTCATAAATGCCGAGGAGGCCAAGAAGGCCTTAAAGAGCAAGGCGGCACCCCTGCCAAGGAGGAGGTAGGGCAGGCTAGCAATCAGAACAACGGCAAGAAGCGCCGAGGTCCTCCTCAGGTGCAAGCCGAGCCAAGGTACAACCCGGCTCCGAGTAACAGGGGCGGAAACGCCTCGACGAGCCAGGGGGAGATCAAGCGGCCCAAGCCGCAACGGTACGATGCCTACACTCCCCTGACTATGGGGATCGAGGACGTCTACCACGAGATCAGCCATCTCCAGGTCCTGCGTCGACCTCCACCCCTAAAGTCTGACCCGGCACGGAGAAACCAGAACAAATACTGCCGTTTCCACGGCGAGAGTGGTCACACCACGGCCGAGTGCTACGACCTTAGGGATGAGGTCGAGAGGCTGATCCGGGAAGGTAGGTTAGGCGAATACCGAGCCGACCGCCGGAACAACAGGCGCAACGACGACTGACAGGACGAGCAGAGGCGCGATAACCCGCCCGAACCAGTTGGCGTCATAAGAACGATGTTCGGGGGACCATACCTCGGCGGTACCTCTCGACGTGCACAGAAGGAGTACGCTCGAGAGGCGAAGGAGAAGTTTAGCCAGAGGATCATGAACGTCTCTGGATGTGAGGCTAAGGCCGCGCGATATGCCAACGCCGAGATCACTTTCTCGGAAGCCGACGCGAGGGGGGTACATTTCCCCCAGAGCGATGCCTTGGTCGTCGAGGCCATGATCGGTAACCACATGGTTCGCCGTATCCTGGTCGACAACGGTAGTTCCCTGGACATCTTGTACGCGGACTGCCTCGACAAGATGGGGATTCCCCGCTCAAGGCTACAGAACAGTGCCCAGCCACTGTACGGGTTCACAGGAGACAACGTCATCCCGGAAGGGGCCATCGAGCTGCCAATGACCATCGGTGACCGACCACACACCTCGACCATTATGTCAAAGTTCCTGGTGGTGAAGGGAGCCGACCAATACAACGCGGTCATAGGGCGCCCGACCCTGAGGGCCTTGCGGGCGGTAACGTCCATCTACCATCAGGTGATGAAGTTCCCCACGCCAAACGGGATCGGCAAGGTCAGAGGCAACTAGTACGAGTCAAGGCTCACGTACTCAGAAACTGTCCGCCACTACGCCGAGCCGACTCAGGTACGGAGAGAGCTGCGGATGGTCGAGACCAGAGCGGAGGGGCTCGACTTGGATCCAAGGTTCCCAGGGGAAGAGCCCGGAGCAGGACCAGTTGAGGAGCTAATTGAGGTCCCCATCGATGAAAGTGACCCACGAGAACACTGAGAATAGGCTCGGAGTTGGGGGCACAGGACCGGGAAAAATTGGTCGAGTTTCTCCAAGAAAGCCTCGACGTGTTCGCTTGGACCCACGAGGACATGGAAGGGATAAGCCCCGATGTCATGTGTCACCGACTAAACATCGACGACAAGTTATTGCCAAAGAGACAGAAGCGTCGACCAATGAACGCCGAGAGGTCCGAAGCCCTGCGGGTAGAAGTGGACAAGCTCATGAGGAACAACTTCATCCGAGAAGTCTGATACCCAAAATGGGTGTCAAATCCTGTCAGGGTGAGGAAGCCGAACGGGGAGTGGCGAACGTGTGTCGACTTCAGTGACTTGAATAAAGCCTGTCCTAAGGACAGCTTCCCACTACCCCGAATCGACCAGTTGGTCGACGCCACGGCAAGACACGAGCTACTGAGCTTCATGGATGCATACTCTGGGTACAACCAGATACCAATGCTCGATCGCGACGAAAAGCACACGGCGTTTGTCACCGACAGAGGGCTCTACTGTTACTGAGTGATGCCCTTCGGTCTCAAGAATGCTGGAGCGACCTACCAACGCCTCGTCAACAAGATGTTCGCGGGGTAGATAGGAAAGACTATGGAGGTCTACGTCGACGATATGCTGGTAAAGAGCAGGAAGGCCGAAGACCATGAGGAGGACCTAGGAAGAATGTTCGGTGTTCTCAGAACGTACAACATGAAGCTGAACCCTCGGAAGTGTGCCTTCGGCGTTGCTTCAGGGAAGTTCTTGGGTTTCATGGTGAGCAGCTGAGGAATCGTGGCCAATCCGCAAAAGATTCAGGCCTTCCTCGACATGGCATCGCCAAGGAAGCCCAAGGAGGTCCAGAAGCTGACAGGCTGTGTGGCCGCACTAAATAGGTTTATCTCCAAATCCACGGATAAGTCCGTACCGTTCTTTGACACCCTGAGGGGAAGCAAGTCGTTTCTATGGACGGAAGAGTGCGAGCAGGCGTTCCAACAACTGAAGGAACACATTGGCAAACCCCCTATGCTGTCCAAACCTGTGACCGGGGAGGTGCTGAGCCTTTACCTGGCGGTCTCGGAGCACGCCATTAGTTCGGTGTTAACCCGCGAAGAGAAGAAGGTGCAGCTGCCAGTGTATTACACTAGCAAGCGCCTCCTCGACGCGGAGACGAGGTATCCCCAGATGGAAAAACTCGCCCTCGCGCTAGTTGTGACAGAGAGGAAGTTACGGCACTACTTCCAGGCCCATAGCGTTCAGGTCTTGACTAATCATCCCCTCAGACAGGTGCTGCAAAAGCCCGACGCCTCTGGTCGACTCCTTAAATGGTCGATAGAGCTCAGCCAGTTCGATATCGATTACAAACCACGGACTGCTATCAAGGGCCAAGCCCTAGCCGACTTCGTGGCAGAGTTCACAGGTCTTCCAGCCGAGGTCGAGGAAGCCGATGAGCCACCACGATGGAAGCTCTACGTCGACGGAAGCTCCATCGACAACGGCAGCGGGGCGGGACTGGTGTTACTCACGCCGGAAGGACACAAGGTCACCTCGGTCGTCAGGTTCGAATTCCCCACGTCCAACAACGAAGCGGAGTACGAGGCACTGCTCGCCGGACTCCGGTTGGCGGAGCACCTGAAAGCTGAAAACCTCGACATCTTCAGTGATTCACAACTCATTGTGAATCAAGTGAAGGGCCAGTACCAGACCAGGGACGAGAAGATGGCTGCGTACCTGAAGAAGGTTAGGGAAGGCCTGGGAAAGTTCACCACCTATGACATACAGCAGGTACCGAGGGCAGAGAATTGCAACGCCGATGCACTCGCTAGGCTGGCGACGTCGAGAGACGCATATATTTTGAACCTGGTACCCTTAGAGGTCCTGAAAACTCCGTCCACGGAGAAGCGGCCCGAAGTCGCACCAGTGGACCTCCAACCTAGCTGGATGGATCCAATCATTAGGTACTTGGTCAACGGCGAGCTTCCTGAGGACAGGCGGCAGGCCCAAAAGATGAAGTACCAGGCAGCAAGATACACGATGCACGACAACCTCCTCTACCGCAGAGGATATTCGACGCCCTTGCTCAGGTGCCTCGGCGCAGAGGAGGCAAAGAGGGTGCTATCGGAGGTGCACGATGGGGTTTGCGGGAATCACGCGGAAGGACAGTCCTTAGCCTACAAAATATTACGGCAAGGGTATTACTGGCCCAGTCTAAAAAAAGATGCGACCGAGTACGCAAAAAGGTGTGTAAGCTGCCAGAGGTACGCCCCGACCCCTCGACTGTACTCAGAGGACCTAACGTCCATACTATCCCCCTGGCCCTTCGCAAAGTGGGGGATTGACCTCATTGGTCCCCTGCACAAAACCTCAGGGAGGTACAAGTTCGCTATAGTCGCCGTCGACTACTTCACGAAGTGGGTCGAAGCTGAGCCGTTGACGGCCATCTCGGAGGCGAAATGCACAAACTTCATATGGAACAACATTGTGTGCAGGTTCGGTGTCCCGCACTCCCTCGTGTCCGACAACGGAAAGCAGTTCAACAACGACAACACCAGCCAGTTTTGCGAGCTGCTAGGGATCCACAAGAACTTTTCCTCTATCGTGTACCCCTAGTCTAACGGGCAGGTCGAGGCTATCAATAAGATAATCAGAGTCACGCTCAAACGACGCCTTGACGCCTACAAAGGAAAGTGGGCCGAAGAGTTGCCAAAAGTGCTGTGGGCCTACCGAACAAAAAGTAGAACTACCACGGGGGAAACCCCATTCTCAATGGCCTATGGGTTCGAAGCAGTCTTGCTAGTAGAGGTGTCCATTCCGACCGACCGGATAACCCGGTACGAGGAGGATAGGAACGCCGAACTGATGAACTTGGAGCTCGACCTCTTAGAAGAACGACGCACAAATGCGCAGTTAAGGCTCACCGCATACCAGGCAAGAACGGCCAGGTATTATAATAAGAAGGTCAAGCCGAAGCGCTTCGGGGTCGGGGACCTAGTTTTGCAGGTGGTAACCCCCAACACGAAACCCAAGAACTCCGGAGCCTTAGGTCCGACCTGGGAAGGGCCCTACAGAATAAAAGAGGTTGTCGCAAACGGGTCATATCGACTGGCGGAGCTCGACGGTCGAAGCATCAAGCACACATGGAATGCGGACCAGTTGAAGGTTTACTACTAGTGACCACGAGAAGCGTCGACCTAATAGACCAGGCTAAATGTCTTCTACTTGTATTCTTTCATTTCCCCGTTCTGGCAGGCTGAAAAGCCAACTTGTAACCCATACGCTAATAAATATACGTCGATACGTCGACTAATTCTTACTATACGAGTATGATCTTCTACAATTGTCGATACGTCGACCAAAAATTATCGATACGTCGACCAAAAATTGTCGATATGTCGACTAAAGTCGTCGATACAACGACGACGATGCGCCGAAGACAAGTCCAAAGCCTTGTTCTTGGCAAGGGGGCGATGTGAGCCCTCACGAACTTGCAAAGACGGTAGAGCTTTGGCCCAACCGTGCTTTGAGCGACTGCGAGTTTTTCTACGCTCCTCACATCCCACTATCTACGTCGAAGAGTCTACAGTGATGTGCCAAGGCTGACTTCTCAAACTCAGCCTCGACAAGGGGGTACTAAGGCCCAACAATGAGGCCCCCCAGCAAAAAGCACAACGCTCGTTACTCACAAGAGGCAGTCGAGCCTACACTTGGCAAAATATCAAAGAGAATATACACATACGCAACATCCACACAAACAGTGAGTAAAAGCACGAATATTTTATGAAAAGCATATATAAAAAGTAAAAATTAGTCTCGACCTTATGGTCATTACAAACTATCAAATTTAGTATGGGCCTCGTGGCCCTAAAAAAAAGGAGAGAAGAGGAGGGGGGTTGCAGCAAAAAATATAAACGGAAGGCCCTGGCTAGAGTCTTCTCCTTACTCGCCGTCGCCGCCCGCAGCCTGCTCCTCACCACTACGTACCTGGTCGACACCCTCGGACCCCTGCGGCGGCTTGGCCCCCTGAGGCGGCTCGACCACCTCCACGCCATCACTGTCAGACTCGTCCACAAAGGATAAGTCAACGTCCGGACGTTTCTGGCGGAAGCGGTCGAGGATTTGTTCCCCCGCGGACTGCATCAGGGACATCTGAAACTCTTCAAACTCGGCGGAGGCCTGGTAGGCCTCGAGCCTCTGGTTAACGAGCTCTTCGAAGTCGGTTGAGGATTTGAATTGCTGCACGTGGCCCGCGATCAAGTCCTTGAGCTCCTGGGACTTCTTGAAAGCATCAAGCTGGCATCGACCATGCGGTGGAAGTCCTCGGAGGATAGGAAGTCCGAGATGGCTCTCGAAGTAGCCTCTTTTTGGCGCTTCTGGAACTCCCGAGACGAGAGGTATGTCTCAACCCCCTTGGAGCTTCCCTCCTGAAAGCCTTCCTTGTAGCTGCTGGATTTTTCGGTGGAAATACTATCCTCGAGGGACCACACCTTTGCCTTCTCGACCTCCAAGTCTGTCGAGAGCTCGTCTCGAACCGCACGAAGGGCGGTGATCTCCTTCTCGACAGCCGCCGCAAGCGTCTTCTCCCCCTTGAGGATGGCCTCCAGCTCTACGTAATTCTGGAGAGTAAGCTCAAGAGCCTGAATTCCAAAGGAAAGAGAATGCGATCAAGACGGAGAAACCCAAACAAAAAGAAAAGGGTCTGCGAGAAGTCGAGGTCGAGGCTTACTGAGATTTGACGCTTCACAGTCAGGCGCTGCCGGTCCAGGATGCTCTCCCCGGCGAAAACATCCCAAGGGTCCTCGTGAAAGAAGGTGTATATGGCTTGCAGAGGAAGGCTAAAGTGAGGCGGGAGGTGCAAAGCGTGAGTGAGGTCGAGGTCGACAACGTCGGACACAATGAACGAGGGGTCATCAATCTTCGACCCCGGAAGCAGGATAGGCTCAAGGGAAGGGAGCGGGATCGCCAGGTTCGCCGCGACCTCGGCACCTTTGTTCTTTTCGAGGCGCCGAGCTTTCCCGGAAGCCCCCGCGACTACAGGAGGCGCCCGTGGCTCGGTCACCTTTTGCCTCTTCGACGGAGGGGGTTCGACCACGAATACCCCCTTCCTAGGGGTCCTGGCGGAGCCTGGCAAGACAGCAGCCTCGGCCGTATGTAGACTCGACGTCCCACTCGATCCCGCACCGGTCGTGCTCTTCTTCGGCTTGACGAGGATGCTGTACTTCATCTCGGATGGCACGGCTACGCGAAAAATGAAGTCAGCTTAGGAACACCTCGACTACGTCCCCCGGACTTTGCTAAAGAAAAAAAAAAGGGGGGCTCAGGAGAAAAACCTGACTTACCGCTGAGGAGATCGGCGGGAGGGGTAACGGGTCGACGTGGGGCGGGAAGATCGACGATGAGGCCGTACAGCTATTGGTTCTCTTTTGTGTTGAGAACAGAGGCACGCCAACGGTCAGGGGAAAGCGACAGTATCTTCTCGACGCGAGCGAGCGCGGATGCTAGGAGCGTCGGACGGTCGACTTCTTCACCTGCGAGATTGAAACATCGTCAGAAGGCTCGACAGCTGCACATAAACCTGCGAGAAAGGAAAAAGGCGGAGAAACGTACAGTATTTGCTAAATACTGTCTGTGTCCCCACCGGTCGCTCGTCGTCGAGGGGGTGAGAGTTAAAATTACCCCCTAGGAAGAAGAATTGGGGTTTCCACCCGTCGGCACTGGTGGTCTTCCCGATGACCACAGGTGGGACAGGAGGTTTGGACTTAGCGTAGGAAGCTATGTAAAAGAATCCCCTCTGCCCAGGGGAAGCCCGAAGGGAGTAGCAATACAAAAATTCCTCGACGCTGAGGTCGAGGCTCAAAATTTTCCTCCACAATATTATCATGGAGTTTATTGTCACCGAACAATTGGGTGACAATTGTGCGGGCGAGATCCTGTGAAGGCCGCAGAGAGCCTTCACGAAGGGGTGAAAGGGCAAGGTTAGCCCAAAGGCGAGTGCTCGGGTGTACACGGTCATATGACCGGGAGGAGGATTGTGCGCCCTGTCGTGGGGGGTCGGAATGATCACGTAGAAGTGAAGGGGGTCAATCCCTGCGTCGACAAATGCCTTTCTAGTGGCGTGGGGCCTGATCTTGGACGGGTCGAGGTCTGTGGCCAGCCCTGAAAGCGTACTCGTAGGCGCAGCCCCATACCCTTGGCGCCCGGGAGAGCTGGCCTGCGGGTCAACACCCTCGTCGTCAAGGAGAACGAGTGCATCTTGTTGGGAAGACGAGGCAGACACGTCAGCGTATTCCTCGACTTGGCGAAGTAGGGAGTCCCCACTTCTGCCCAAAGACGTGCTGGAGGTAGCGACATCTAGGGGGTCTTCTCTGACCTTATGCTCGGAAACCTCTCGACCTCTAACCTGCTTCGACGACATGTTCTGAAAATGAGAGGCAAAGAGGGAGTTAGCTCCTAGCGGTCGAGAGGTCGAAAGCGCAAGGTTAGAGAAACATACTACACCGCCAGCCACGGAGGCTCAGAGCCAAGTCCGAGGCCCTCAATGGCGACCAGGAGGTCATACATGTGCAGCCCCGCCGTCGGCGTAAGGCCGGCGGCACCAGGCAAGGACGTTTTTCCCCCTCTTTTTATCTGCAACACATTTCGACGCGACGGTCGCAGACGAGGCGACCGGACACAGGGGGAATAAGGACTTACCGGAGTTGGAGGACGCTTGAGTCTGAGAACGATGGACGGTGCAAACGCGGAACATGCATGGAGGAAACGTCTCGGGGGAAAATCCGGCAGAATAACGGCGTCTTGAAAGCTCGGTGGTCAGAAATGCAAAGGTAAGGGCCTATATATACCCGCAAGAGAGGAAGACAAAAGGTCTTCGAGGAGTCCAAAAAGGCTCCAGATCTCGACCGTAGAATTTGAATCGGTACCATCTGACGGTGGATCCGAGAAGGCATGATCGAATGGCTGGGGAGAGAGCGACAAGAAAGGACTTGATCCGACGGTGATGTTTCATCCCCCCGTCCAACGTGGCGTTAGGAAAACGAGGACGTGACAGTTCGTACAATCGGCGTGACTGCTCCACTACCCGAGAGACTAGCCGCAATGATCACAATACTCGCGAGCCGCAGTCCTAAACCACAGAAAGGTCCCTTTCCACGCGGCATCATCAACGTTGTACAGCTAGGAAAGTCACACCGCGACATTCCAGTCTAGGGGGTAATTGTTACACCATAGTCGAGACATCGACCATTCCTTCAAAAGACCGACGCCGAGGACTCCCGCGCGGAGGACCAGCTGTTGGCATCGAGGGTAAGGCATAGCAAACGTGCCCTATACGTCGAGAGATAGCGCAAGAGGAGAGGCGCCGGGCGAGGGCTCTACGGGCTGAGACCGCTGCGTCGAGGGAACATTGTCGGTCCTTTTTGCCAGGAGTCATGTCAACCCGAGGAGGGAAGTACTGATCCGACTGTTACTGCAGAAGTCAGGAAGTCAGGCGGCAGGTTGAGAGTATCAGCCGTATTTCCTGGAAAAGTCATCATCAAAGGCCCACCTACCCTCACGAGAATCGAGAACAGAAGATGGCTTCCACCTTGGGAGTCGGGAATATGTAATCGAATGTA